AGTGTTAACGCTGGATGGCATAAGTGATAATGTGAAATAAAACCAATTAATGCCAGGCCTGTGTTTTAGGGAACTCATCTGCTATGCAGTAAGGACATGGTTCTCAAAACTGTTGCAGGTGCTCAGCAGGACTCATTCTGTATTTTAACCACTTACCTCATTTGGCCTGCTCGGGCAGCAATGAACCATGAGGAATTATCTTGTGCCATATGTAGAATATATAATATAGTTAATGTGCGCAAATCTCAAAATGCTCTTTTAAAAGATACTTTAAATTATTAAATTACTTCACAAACTAATACAAGGTGAAGTGTAGTAACCAAATACATGTCTGATTAATAATAATTACGTGTCTTCACAGGCCTGCCCTCATGAAAGTAGACCAAAATGCTCTTAATCATGAGTGGGGTTTTTCAGTGGCACAAATGTGTGTGACATCTGACACACAGAGATCTCACATTCGCTGACTGTACCCCAGCGGGCAGAGTTAGCACTGCCCTGCGCTCGCCTCTACAGAGCTCCACCATCATCCAGGTGGTCCACAGCAGAACACCATGTAAAGATGGCACGAAAACCACCACTAAAAATCATATTGTGTTACAAGTTTATTTACCATCTCATGAGATCATTACTGGCTGTCCAGAGTGCAGGAGGCCTGCAGGCAGAGGGCTAGACATGTTTATGTACTGCATCTGGATAACAAATATCTCAGAGTGCCTGCTGAAATAAAGACTTCTCCTCACAACTTGCCTACTTCTATAAATGGAACTGGTATTTTTCTAGGTCGGGCATGGTGGTACATACCTATAGTGCCAGTTACTTGGGAAGCTGGGATAGGAGGATCACAACTTTGAGGCCAACGTAAGCAAGACCTTCCCTTTAAAGAGGGAGCCCTGTGGGTGTGACCAGTGGCAAAGCCATCACTTAGCACACGTGAGGCCCTAGGACAATCCCCAGTACCAGGAGAAAAAGCGGACCTTGATCTCTAGACTAGGAACGTGGATAGAGACGGGGTTGAGGCACACCGCTATCACTTAGCACGCCCACACACCTTCAGTCTGCTGCTTCGTGCACCAGCCAGCCCTGAGCAGGCCCAGCTCCCAAGAGCTGGGCACACAGCACCTCTGGAGACACCACACTGGGCTTCAGCTGCTCCTGGGGTTTTCTGCCCTGTCTTACCCCACTAGGCTATAAAGATACCGAGGATGTGTTCTGCACATCTCAGATACCCAACTGCTCAGCTGACTAAACAGTACGGACAACACAATGTTCTGCGTCCATATAAACACAGCTGAATACATATGCATGGGAAAGGATGAAGACATCTACGAAGGCATTCGACCAGTTGCGTCTCAGTCTCTTCTGATTTTTATATGACATCACTGTTCTGATAATAAGAAAAATAAAACATTTGGGAGATAAAAAGCCACTTGTAATACAAGTTCTCTTTCACCAAGCTCTAGACACAAGGACCTTTACAAGGTAAACACATCACTGTCCTTTACCTCCGTACCTCTACTGTCATAGGCCAAGGAGTACACCGAGTAATGGCTCTGCCTGCAAATAACACAATAAAGTGAACAAGATGCCAAACACCTAAGAAATCATTGTAATATGGACATTTTTAAGAGCACAAGCAGAAAATAGGCATTTTCCTCTGTGTATTAGACTTCAAAAGGTTACTTTGTATTTCCAATTAATGTTTCTATGAAACCCAAAATTTAAAAGGCATTTAATGAGGGCTGGGGAGATAGCTTGGCAGCAGAAGCACCTGCCCAGCAAGTGCAAGGTCCAAAGTCTAATCCCTGGTACCACATGCTATGCCAGCCCCAGAACCCTGGGCACACCATGCTGGCCCTGAAACTGGGCTTGGTGGAGCATGCCTGCAATCCCAGCGCTGGGGAGGCTGAGACAGGAGGATCACTATGAGTGTGAACTGCATTGCAAGACCCTCTATCAAAAAATTTAAAAAATATAGGGCTGGGGAGATAGCTCAGTGGAGTAAGTGCTTGCCTGGCAAGCACAAGGTCCTGAGTTTGATCCCTGGTACCGCAAAATAAATAAACAAACAAATATTAATATATATATATAAGATTTTTTTTAAATTATGATTTTCCTTGTCTCCTTTCTTTAATTTTAAATCTTTATTATTATTTTATTTGTTTGGTACAGGATGTTGTTACTAAGCTCAGACTCATAGTGATCCTCCTGTCTCAGCCTCCCCAGCTCTGGGATTACAGGCGTGTGCCACCACGCCTCATGTCAGTGGCCAGCTAGGTGTGGGGCTGGCACACCATGTGGTACCGGAGATTGAACCCGGGTCCTTGCACTTGCCAGGCGGGTCCTTAGCCCACTGAGCTATCTCCCCAGCCCCTAAAAAAGATGTTTAATGAACTTGTGAAGAGGACACAAATACTATGAAGGAGATGAAGTAGTTGAGAATAGCCAACTCCCAAGCACAGTAACTCTTCAATTCAACTCAAGATTTCTTCCACACCCATTAGGACGACGCACGTAATTTTCAGGAGAGGCCTTCCTGGCTCTGTGGAAGCAGTTATTGAGCTCTAAACCCAGTTTCAGCACACAGGGTCCTGCTGATAGTTGCTCTGCATCATGCCCACCACAAGTTCACAGAGGAAGGCCAGGGTCCTTGCACATGAAGCTACAGAACACAGGTCACTGTAGTCTCATTTTCATTTGCAGATTCAGGAAAAATCTTTTTTTCTATTACTACAAACAATGTATTTTAAAAATGATTCCTAGATCTCTTTTGAAGTAAAAATAATAAATGATGATGATGATGATGATGATAATGCTGCTGCTGCTGCTGCTACAAGAGTTCAAAGGCATTCCAGGCACCTGTGAAATCCCATTTCTTTAATAGCTCGGGGTTTTCTCCCCCTTCAGACAGGATCTCCCTATGTGGTCCAGGCTGGCTTTGCTTTGTAGTCCAGAAATCCTCCTGCCTCAGCCTCCCTGATGCTGGTATATAATCTTGTTCCTATTTTTCCTGTGCTCAGCTGGGTGGCCGCTTTCACAGTACTGCTGATTTTCAATCTGACTTTTTTTTTTTTAAATTTATTTATTTAGGGCTGGAGAGATGGCTTAGTGGTCTAAAGCACCTACTTGAAACAAGCTTGGCAAAGCACAAGGACCGCGGTTCAATCCCCCAGCACCACATGCCAGCCAGCCCCGCCCCCTGGTGGGCTGAGCTGGCCACACACACACACACACACACACACACAAAATAAATGTAATAAATAAAAATAAATAAATATTAAAAAAAATTAAATTTATTTGGGGGGGGCAGCTCAGCCCACCAGGGGGCGGCGCTGGCTGGCATGCGGTGCTGGGGGATTGAACTGCGGTCTCTGTGCTTTGCTAAGCTTGTTCCAAGTAGGTGCTTTAGACCACTGAACCATCTCACCAGCCCCTGACTTTTTGTTTTTTAGCCCCTCTGTACCCCACCTTTCTGAAGTTTCTAGTGTCTCCGATTTCTGAGCCTATCTGGAATATTTTTCATATAAACTGGTTGACCGCTTTAAGTGCTATATCAGTTACCACCGCACTATCAACTTTCTAGCTTCCAAATTTTTTGTACTTCTCAGCTCTCTACATCTTCCTTTTTTTGGTTCCTCATGTTTTTGTTAAAAAATACACACACACACACACACACACACACACACACACACACACACACACATATTCATTCCACACAGAGGATCCCTTTTCCAGATGTAATTTTCAAAGTTTTATAAGACTGAGCCAGCTTTCAGTTCATAAACTTATTCTACAGATAACTTAGCATAGGGTAGTGTATTTCTTTTCTTTTTTAATAAAAATTCTTTTTTTTGGAACCGGGGATTGAACTTGCCAGGCAAGCGCTTATTCTACTGAGCTATCTCCCCAGCCCAATAAAACTGACTTGATGGGAAGGTTTTTATGGAGAAAATTCTAGAGCAATGTAAAAGGCTTGTTTAGAATAGTGAATTCATTCTTTGGCTTGCTGTGAAATCACCAAAGTCTTCAATTAAGAGGATAAGCAAATGGTTGTGTTTTAAATATATTTACTACAAGTTGGAAACGTTTGTCACACAGAGTGCTTATAAGGATTATATAATGGTAGAATATGTCAAAGGACTCTGTAAAGTGCTAGAGAAACCTAATTTTTATTACTGCTATACTCATTCCAGTTACGACATACTAATCCTGAAGGAGAAGGCTTACATGCAAAGCTCCCTGAAGGAAGAATGACCCACCTCGGTGCTGCATGGAAATACGAAGGGCAAGGCAAGAGGAGGGAAGGAGAGGGCCAGGACAGTGAGCAGTGACCACCCCGCCTCAGCCTCC